TAAACATTTTTTTTTCTGAAAAGCTTGTAACTAACTATACCATCCGTCAGTAGAGTGAAATCAATCCTTTTGTAAGTTCTTAATATCTTTCCCTACTCTTTATATATATATATATATATATATATATATATATATATATATATATATATATATATATATATATATATATATATATATATATATATATATTATATTATATATATATATATATACATACACACAGATAGGTAAATGCATCTTACGATATCTGGCACCTATGATCAAGAAACGCTTTACACGTTTTAGCCGACCCATGTCTGTGGAGGGCCGCCTATTGGTATTTGCCTTACACTGGCTGAAAATTTCATTGCTGAACTAAAGATAGGGCTTATCTTTGCTCCACAGGCCCCATGGACTAGGCCATTCAGACAGTTCAGAAACCTTATGCTGGAGGAGGAGTCTCCTCTTAAGACCCTTCAGTGTCCTCTGACACACAAGAGATTGTGTTTATCTACATAAAATTATAAACATTGTATATTGAAGATGAGGCACATATATCTCACTGTGCAAACATACATCAGGCCTGCTGGATTGCCTCAAGAAACCTAATCTTTCTCTATATTTGTAATTTTTTGTGTATCTACTAAACTGCACCGAAGTCCCTTTACTGAGCTGTTGTTTACTCACTCGATAGTTAATTTTTCATGGCATACTACTATGATGATTGAAGAAGAGTTTCTGCTTATTGATACACAATCTACCCCCAACTCTGGATATTGCATCTAACCAGAGGAATAACCTACTGTGCATTGCGGGTTCTGGCGGTAAATATCTCATATCTACGAAAAAGCAATAGATAAGATTGTGAAAGGGCTGTGTTGTCCCTGAGGAAAGTGAGAAAGAATCCACACAATATCGAGCACCTTTATCGCATTCAACTTTTGACTGATGTGAAGCAATCATGTAAATTGTTGGTAAAAAGAAAAAAAATCTTGTAACAGCTTCCTCAGATCCCCACGGTCGACGATATCCAACTATTTTGGGAAAAATGCGATCAACAACTTAGTGAGCTTCCATGCCTTGCCAGTAGTACCCTACATGAACCAATATTAATGATTATTAATGAAAATTTTGATATATGTGGGTGTGTCACTATTCTATGCCACTGATTCAACTCTGAACACACCTACTTAGAAATTGTGCAGAGTAACTCACAGAGACTATGCTGTATGAGAGGCATTAATGTTTGAAGGAAGTTGTGAAGGAGATTGTACCCTACGGTGCTTGCTGGAAGTAAATGTAATTTACACCACCTTATATTACTGTTCTTTCTATTTCATTTTTATCTATTCTTTGCTGCTTGGAAGTTGGCTCTCTGCAGTAATATCAAGTAATTAGGGTTGAACGTTTTGATAACCTATTTTGATAAACATTAAAAGTGCTATTGGTAACCAACTTCTTTGATCTGGCACCAACTGGTACTGTGCTACACATACACATTCTCTTGGGAACTCATAGCACAGTTGGTATTGTATCCACAAAACTGGCATAGTATACATTGCATGGGGCCAGGTACACAGGAGAATAGGCCAGCAGGATACATTTCTGGAAATTCAAAAGAAAGGTTGGTGTGGGTGGCACCTCTTCATCAGTTCTTTAATTGGAATGCTTCATTGCCACTACAGTGAACTTTTTAATTTCCTCCAGTAATATATCATATGCAATAATATATATATAATATATATATATATATATATATATATATAATATATATATATATATATATAAGCAAAGCAGTTAAGGAAGACTCATGTCTGGGGAGTAACCAGCACAGGTGGTCTATAGGGCATGTTCAGTTAATGGGACCAGCTGTCTCTTGAACCGGGACAGCGCTAACGACTAAGCCTATTACGAATGGCTGGGTTAAACGGAAAAGCTACCAATGGCGCTGTCATCAGGTCACAGTTGTCTGGAAACTGGCCGGGGGAGCAAGGTAGCTGCCCTCCTGCACCTCTGCTTGGGCCCGAGGTTGTCACTTACGGGCGAATGTCTAATGGGACAAAGTGATGCGGTTGAGAATAAGTGGGGATGTAAATTGAAAATAGTATATTGAAAATATTGAAAAAGACGTTAAGTATATAGTGATGTAGTGGCAATGGCCTCCATGAAAAGCAAGAAATTATTAGTTATTATTCATAACCAAGAAACAGGAAGAAATGACCATTGAATCGGAAATTCATTTATATAAACATTGTAAAGTTGGTTCTTTGATTTTTACATGTAGATTTTTCAAGTGATTATTTTTATAGGGATTATTCGAATAATTTGGGAATATTATTTTGTTGATCAAATTTAGTATATATTCACGTTCTTTATCCTCAAATAAGCTGTAAATTTAAAGGGTGTGAGGACACAGTAAAATTTTCTTGGTGGTGCAGGCATAGTTGAGAACCACTGCTGTAAGTCTGTTGGTAGCAAGATGTATAATTGATAATTATGGATAAGTTCCTCTTTGAAATGA